TCTCTCTCTCTCCGCAGCCTCCGCCGCCATGGGGGGTCGCCCATCGCCGCCGCCCCCCGCGCCCCTCCAGCTCTTCCTCCCCGTCCTCCTCCTCCTCCTCCTCCTCCTCGCCCCCTGCCCGGCCACCGCCGAGGAGCTGCTGGTGGCCACCTCGGCCGGCGCCGTCCGCGGCTTCCACGTGCCCGCCGGCCCCTCGGCGCGCGTGGCGGCGTTTTTGGGGATCCCCTACGCCGAGCCCCCGCTGGGCCCGCTGCGCTTCGCCCCTCCCCGCCCCGCCCGGCCCTGGGGAGGGGTCCTGGACGCCCTCTCCCACCCCCACGCCTGCTTCCAGCCGGTGGACACCATGTTCCCGGGCTTCGGCGGCTCCGAGATGTGGAACCCCAACCGCGAGATGAGCGAGGACTGCCTGTACCTCAACATCTGGGCGCCGGCGCCGCGCCCCGAAACGCCGGCGCCGGTGCTGGTGTGGATTTACGGCGGCGGCTTCTACAGCGGCGCCGCCTCGCTGGACGTCTACGACGGGCGGTTCCTGGCGGCGGCCGAGGGGGTTTTGGTGGTCTCCATGAACTACCGGGTGGGCGCTTTGGGTTTCTTGGCCTTGCCGGGTCACCCCGAAGCTCCCGGCAACGTGGGGCTGCTGGACCAGCGGTTGGCGTTGCGTTGGGTGCAGGCCAACATCGCGGCGTTCGGCGGCGACCCCGGCGCGGTGACGCTCTTCGGGGAGAGCGCCGGCGCGGCCTCGGTGGGGCTGCACCTGCTGTCGGGCGGCAGCCGGGCGCTGTTCCGCCGCGCCGTGCTGCAGAGCGGCTCGCCCAACGGGCCCTGGGCCACCGTGGGGGCGGCCGAAGGCCGGCGGCGGGCGGCGCGGCTGGGCCGGCTGCTGGGCTGCGGCGGCGCCGGCGCCGGCGGCGCCGTGACCAACGAGACGGAGCTGCTGGCTTGCCTGCGCGCCGCCGCGCCGCCGCAGCTGGTGGAGCACGAGGCGGCCGTGCTGCCGCAGCAGGGCGTCTTCCGCTTCGCCTTCGTGCCCGTGGTGGACGGCGAGTTCCTGGCCGACACCCCCGAGGCGCTGCTGGGCGCGCCGGGCGGCGCCGAGGCCGAGGTGCTGCTGGGCGCCGTGCAGGACGAGGGCACCTATTTCCTGGTGTACGGCGTGCCGGGTTTCGGCAAGGACAACGAGAGCCTGATCAGCCGCGAGGAGTTCCTGGGCGGCGTGCGGCTGGGCGTGCCGCAGGCCAACGAGCTGGCGGCCGAGGCCGTGGTGCTGCAGTACACCGACTGGCTGGACCAGGACAACCCGGTGAAGAACCGCGAGGCGCTGGACGACATCGTGGGCGACCACAACGTGGTGTGCCCGCTGATGCACTTCGCCCAGCGCTGGGCCGAGCGCGGCGGCACCGTCTTCGCCTACCTGTTCGACCACCGCGCCTCCAACCTGCTGTGGCCGCCGTGGATGGGCGTGCCGCACGGCTACGAGATCGAGTTCGTCTTCGGGCAGCCGCTCAACCCCGGCCTCAACTACACGGCCGAGGAGGAGGCGCTGAGCCGGCGCATCATGAGATACTGGGGCAACTTCGCCCGCACCGGGTACGGGCCGGGACGGAGCGCGGTTGAGTTGGGTTGGGATGAGTTGGGTTGGGATGGGATGAGTTGAGTTGTGAGGAGCTGGGTTGGATGACCATGGTTGGGTTGAGTTCAGTTGGGATGGGTTGGATGACCTTGGTTGGGATGAGTTGAGTGGTGATCGGTTGGGTTGGACGACCTCATTTGCATTGAGTTGAGTTGTGATGAGCTTGGTTGAGTTGCAGTGAGTTGGGTTCAGTTACCTTGGTTGGGATGGGATGAGGTGGGTTGAGTTGGGATGAGTTGGGTTGGATGACCTCAGTTGGGTTGAGTTGGGATCAGTTGGGTTGGATGACCTCGTTTGGGTTGGGATAAGTTTGGTTGAGTTGGGTTGGGATGAGCTGACTTGAGTGACGATGAGTTGGGTTGGATGACCTCAGTTGCGTTGAGTTGGGTTCAGTTACCTTGGTTGGGATGGGATGAGTTGGGTTGAGTTGGGATGAGTTGGGTTGAATTCAGTTGGGATGAGTTGGGTTGGATGACCTTGGTTCAGTTGGATTGAGTTGGGTTGAGTTGGGATGAGTTGAGATCAGTTGGGTTGAGTAGGGATGAGTTGGGTTGGACAGCCTTGGTAGGGATGAGTTCCGTTGGGATGAGTTGGGTTGGATGACCTTGGTTGGGCTGTGATGTGTTGGGACGAGCTGGGTTGAGTTGCGATGAGTTGGGATTGGTTGGGTTGTTGTGAGTTGGGTTGGATTGTTATGAGTTGGGATGAGTTGGGATAAGTTGGGTTGGACGATCTTGGTTGGGTTGAGTTCCATTGGGTTGAGTTACGATGAGTTGGGTTGGATTGTTATGAGTTGGGATGAGTTGGGATAAGTTGGGTTGGACAATCTTGGTTGGGTTGAGTTCCATTGGGATGAGTTACGATGAGTTGGGTTGGATTGTTATGAGTTGGGTTGGGTTGTTATGAGTTGGGTTTCGTTGACTTGTGATGAGTTGGGATTGGTTGGGTTGACTTGCAATGAGTTGGGATTGGTTGGGTCGGGTTGTTACGAGTCGGGTCGGGTTGTTTTGAGTTGCGTTGGGTTGGGATGAGTTGGGTTAGGTTTTTATGAGTTGGGTCAGGTTGTTATGGGTTGGGTTGTTTTGAGTTGCGTTGAGTTGTTATGAGTTGGATTTGGTTTTTATGAGTAGGGTTGGGTTGTTATGAGTTGGGTTAGGTTTTTACGAGTTGGGTCGGGTTGTTTTGAGTTGCGTTGGGTTGTTATGAGTTGGGTTCGGTTTTTATGAGTTGGGTCGGGTTGTTTTGAGTTGGGTTCGGTTTTTATGAGTTGGGTTGGGTTGTTATGAGTTGGGTTGAGTTGGGATGAGTTGGGTTGGGTTGTTACGAGTTGGGTTCGGTTTTTACGAGTTGGGTCGGGTTGTTTTGAGTTGTGTTGAGTTGGGATGAGTTGGCTTGGGTTGTTACGAGTCGGGTCGGGTTGTTCCGAGTTGCGTTGGGTTGTTATGAGTTGGGTTCGGTTTTTATGAGTTGCGTTGGGTTGTTACGAGTCGGGTCGGGTTGTTCCGAGCCGGGCTGGACACGCCGCGCCGTGCGCCGCAGGGACCCCAACGAGGCGTCGGAGCGGGAGCGGCGCTGGCCGTCGTACACGGCGGCGCGGCAGAGCTACGCCCGGCTGAACGCGCGGCCGCTCGCCGTGGCCCAGGGCCTGCGCGCCCAGGCCTGCGCCTTCTGGAACCGCTTCCTGCCCAAGCTGCTCAACGTCACCGGTCAGCACGGGGACACCGGGGACGTGGGGACAATGGGGACATTGGGGGG